GCAGGAGAGGAGGGGAGGAGGGGGAGGAGCGTGAGCAGGGGGAGCAGGGAGAGCAGGGGGAGCAGGCCTGCCTGGGATGAGGGACGTGGGGAAGGAGACATGACAGGTGGAAGCTCACGGTGAAGGTCTGGAGGGTCAAGACTCGGTCATGCAGCTGTGTTAGTGCATAAATACACAAAGACTTCGTTTTTACGCATCAGGGAAGGACTCATTTGGTTTTCCAGGCTATAATTCCATTCTCTGAGCTTCCTTCTGTCTGTCCCAAGCCCACTCAGAAACTCAGAGTGGACTCTGTTCTCACTTGAACTGGGAGCTCCCTGGGCCCTGGCCGGGCGTTCAGCTCTACAGGCTGCATCTCCTGCCTTCTCCCAGGGTCCAGAACCACTGGAGGAGCAGGGAGAGAAGAGGAAGAGAAACGCAGGGAAGAGACAGAAGCCACAGGTGTCGACGCACCCCAGGCAGAGGAGACGTCACTTTAAAGGTCTGGACCAGACGCCACAGGCCAGAGACGCACAGCGACTCTATGAAGAGCCCCAGTGGCCTTTGAAGGAACAATCTCAATATAATCAATGACATCATAACTGTACGGCGACAAATGGTGACTAAACTTATTAGGGTGATCAGTTCCTAAGGTACACACGTCTAATCACTATGCTGTACACCTGAAACTAATATGTGTGTCAACTGTAATTAAAAACTGTAACACACACACACACACACACACAGAATAATTTCAGATCAGATCAGTGACAGGCAAGGAAGCCAGGTGTCAGAGGGTTAGGGAGCGACAGGTGGTACTCCATAGCTTCCCTGGTGTCTAAAACCTGCAGATACCTTTAGGATGTGGCATAGGTCCCATGGGAGACGCCAGAACAAAACGTCACCCAGATGCAGGTTCCTGGAAGCATCCCCTACCATAAAAACATGCTGCTTCCCCAGCCACTGGGATCTTCTGCTGGTGTTGGTCTAAGATACCTCTTCAGCCTCTTATCACAAAACGTCAGTCAGGCAACCGGTGTAGCCTGCTTCCTGCCCCGCAGGAGGACAGCAGAACCCAACTGCTTCAAAGAGCTCCGTTTTCCCAGGGTCATGGCCCCCCAGCTCACCTAGCGTGCGACCACCACGCCTGGCAGGTCTCCAGCGTCCTGGAACCTCAAGGTCTGCTGGTCACCATGACACTTGGTCTCTGGAGACACGTGACCTGTTCCCTTCCTCCATTTCTACAACATCCCAACCGATGCCTGCCACCGGCTGATGTGCAGGCCTTCGGCCCTCAGCTTGCAGGGCATCGGGACAGGAGGGCGGGGGTCTGTGACTTCTTCAGGACGCAAAGGCAGGGGAGCACGAGCTAGCCTCAGAGCAGAGTCTGGAAAACCTCCAATCTCCCTGAGTCCCACTGAGGCAGCCCCGGGCCTCTGACCTCTGTGAGGAGCTGCCAGCCTCCGCTAAGATCTGCCCAGACCCGAGCTTGGCCTCCCTCAGTAGACTCTCCTTGCCCACTCCTCTCCTAGGAGCCTGCTCATCCTGGAAGTCGGGCCAAAGAAAAGTCCCTCAGGCCTGAAGCCCCGGCATGGGCCTTGGACAGTCTGGATCCTGTCCTTTTGCCCCAGTAAGGATTCTGGTGCCAGAAAACACGGCCTCTGGCCCAGCACTGTGCCGCAGGATGTCTGGGGACAGTGAGACACCTGCTAGCCGACAGGGTACTGTGCCACGCAAAACGAAGGGCTGGTGAAGAAAGTGCCAGTGTGTGTGCACCTGCTGTTCTCCCCACCTCGATGGGCATTCTCACCTCCTCCTCGCGCGCCAGTCAGACTCCTAGGTAACTGCCCACATTGTCACTCTGAAGCAAAAACTCTCCCTGTGAAGACGTCCCTCACTCTCCTGGGAGAATCAACGGGATCCCCTGACCCCTCCAGAGCATCACCTTGACCTCACAGGTCTGATCAAGCATCCTGCGGCTAGGTGGTTGCAGGTCACATTCCATACGGTGCCCCAGACGGCAGGGACAGTGCTGTCCACCCTTGTACTGCCACCACCTGGCACCACCACAGGTGAGCAAGAGCTCTCGGAGTCAGACACGCACAGACCCCCGTTATAGGTGGAGGGCTCAGAGGGACCGAGAGGACGGAAATGCCTCTTTTGAGGCTGGGCATGAGGCAGTACAAACCCCTCTTTCCTGCAACAAAACCCAACTCCACTTCTGAGCCTCCAGAACAGAATTTCTCTACTGCACTCATCCATGAAGCCTTTTCTCCACCGACGGAGCAGCAAGTGCTTCTGTTCTGCGTTTGGAGGCTTACAAAATCTTCAAAACGGATGTGTTTCATCACGACCAACAGAACTCTCAAGAGTACAGGCTGCAAAAGACCTTCCACACAGAACACACCCTGGCCGGATTCACCATCAGCAGCCATGCCACCAAGCTGGAGTCGGGGCCGTCCCACACAACTTTCTACACGTGGCCACTAGTCACCTGTGGCTACTGAGCACTACTCATGTTGCTACACAGCAACTGGGAAAGCGAAGTTTTAACTTGAACTGAACTAGTATTGTAGCCATATGTAGATAGTGGTTGCCACACCGGACTATGCAGCACTAACCGCCCATTGCCGGGAAGGTGGGAGACTGAGCACGTGAGCCTGCGGTCAAAGCCACAGAGGAACGGAGCACGTGGCCACCTTGGAGGGCAGCCCAGGAGGCAGCCTGGCATCACTGGAGACTCAGGTGCTCTGGCTGTGGGTGTGGAGCAGGTGCAGCCCTCGAATGCCACTCCCGTCTTGCAGGTCTCTCTGGGCCCTGCCACTCAGTCACTTGACAAAGGCGCAGTAGCTCCTATTCTGAGCCACGCCCCGGGCACTGGGGCGCTGGGGACACAGGGAAATAGCACTGAGCCCACATGTGGCAGGAGGGAGCAGCTTAAACAGCAGGAGGGAAGTCTGACAAGGGCGGCTGGGATTCGATTACAATTAACCTGGAGAGCCACGGGTGACAAAGATGACCATCTGTCCTGCAAAAATGTCACCCTTTCTGTACCAAGTGTGGACTGGAGTTGTTGCTAGGAGTTGACTGCCCAACGAAGACTGGGTCTGGCGCCCTCCTTTCATGCAGACAGACCACATGGCTCCTTCTTTTTCTGGTGGCTGGAGGGAGAGGGCTCAGAAGCCTTAAAGGACAGCAGGAAAATGACAAGAAAGAGAGAGCCTGGATTCCTGAGTGACTCCACAGAGAAGAGTTGTCCACCCCTAATCCCCACTCTCTAGATCATTATTTGAGTGAGAAAAATGCTACGTGTTAAGCCATTGATAGTTAATACACCACACACAGCGGGCGTTGGTCTTTTTTGATGGAGACATATACAAGCAGAGAGGCGCAGGCTACAGGCTCTGTGACAGTGATGCAATGACAAGGACGGGATGGGGAATACCAGACAGGCCAGCAGGCATCTGGTTAAAGCGCGGCGGGAAAACCAGGAGAACACAGTGAAGACACGGGCAAAGCCACACAGACTGCAGGCTAGGCAAGGAGGGGACGGGGAGGAGGAGCAGGCCGGGGGTCTCGCCAGGACTGTCACCGGTAATGCCCACTCACCTGGGTGAGAGCTGTGACCCTGCTCCCCATGTCTGGGAGAATAGGGGGCTCGTCGCCCACTTGCAAGTCAAAATAGACGGTCTTGTGAGAGAAGGTGGAGAACTCATTACTGAAGCAAAACCGATAGACCCCCTGGACCTCAGCCCGGTACGTGAAGCTGTCATACTGCTTCTTGGTCTCCCTGTAGATGGTGTTGCCGAGGGGGTCCTCCACAGAGCAGTCAACGTCGTAGTGGCCTCCAGTGATGACCTGACAACCACAAAAGACACCCGCCATCTGCTGTCACCAGAGAGCAACCAGCACTCACGAAATGCCAACCAGGCACTGTGTGACTGGACCTCACACACATTTCATTTTATTAAACCTCACAACCTTCTAAAGCAGGGGCTATGACACTCGGATTTCACAGAGGATGACACCAAGGCTGAGAGAGAAAAAGTGAACTGGCCATGGTCACCCTGCTTGAGAGGGGCAGGGCTGGGACTAGAGTCCATGTCTGCCTGACTCCGAAGCTTTCGCTCGGCAAGAGTGTCACCAGCCTCATCCTTCCCATTTTACAGACCAGGAAACAGGTCCCGGGCTCGCAGATGTTAACATCATTACTGACAGCATGCACAGAGAAGGCCAATGTAGCTTAGGCGGTCACAGAATCGGCACTGTCAGAGGTGGGCGCGTCCAGGGGGTCATTTCGTTCAAACTCGCTGTAAACTTACGAAGGACCCACGTCAGGTGCTCGATGGCTAGACCCAAGGCCATGGAAGGACACAGTCAGCGGCCTCCAGCTGTTCCCAAACGTGAAGCTTCCCTCTGGCCAGACGGGAGGCAGCTTTGGCAGCAGCAAGCGTCCTGATGCTGGAGGTGTTTAAACCCGTGCTGAACACTCGGACAGTGGTTCCTGACCCAGCAGTGGCCAGATCACCTCTCAGGCCCCTCCAGCCTCACGGTAATCTTTGGTTTGTTTGGTTTTTTTCTTCTGTTTTGTTTGGTGATTGCACCTAGGTTGCCCCGTTAACCAAGCCACCATTTGTACATTGTCCAGAGAGATGTGAAAGTGATCGAATCAGGGACTCAGAGGCCATCACACCTGCATAAGCCTGTTAGTGGCTTTGGCCAGTGTGGGCCCATCAACTGGCCGGCCGCACGTGTCCCCACACAGAGGGCTTACCGGGTGTGACTCCCACGCGGCCCCCAGCCCTAGATGGAGTCACTAACCCTTGTGGCAGATCCCTCACCCAGGACCTGCTTCTGAAGCTGTGAGCCCCATGGTCTCCCAGGAGCCAGGGGTGCAGGCGCAGGCAGCTTTTCTAAGCCATATGGCAGCAGCCACATCTTGTAGCCACAACCCCGCTCCCTGTAAACTCAGCCAGGGCTCCCGGGCAGCGCTGAGACCCCCTTTCCAAGGCGCCCATTCTCATCACCTCTGCGCTCACCCCAAAAATGACTTTAAACGCTGCAGGGAGGCGGCAAATCAAACCACGAACCCACTTCCTCTCGCTGCCGTTTTTTCAGGACACGCGGGGGGCAAAGCGGTCCAAGAGGCCCGGGACGGAGCCCGTGTCCAGCTAACTAGAGGCGGCACTCCTCAGCGTCCAGGGCCCGCGGAGGCCGTTCTGGCCAGCTCCCCAGGATGCAGGACCGGCTCCGGGCACCCCATCCCGGGCACCCCTTCCTGGACACCCCATCCCGGGCACCCCTTCCCGGACACCCAGTCCCGGGCACCCCGCCAGTGCCCGCCCGGCCCCGCCCGGCAGGGAGGACCGCGACCCACCTGGTAGTCCAGGGCGAACCTGACGCCCCGCCCCACCTCCTCGTGGAAGCACTGCCGGGCGCTGTCCGGCAGCTCGAAGGTGAGTTCGGTGCCCTGCGGCCGCTCGGCCCGGAGCAGCAGCAGCAGCAGCAGCGGCAGCGGCACGGACGCGAAGCGCAGGGCGGCGCGGCCCATGGCGGTCCGGTCCCGCAGCGGCGCCGGGCGCACGCCTTTTCAGCCGGGCACCGACCCGGGAGCTGCGCCGGGACGGACGTGGCGCGAGCCGATAAGGCGCTTCCGGGCGGGGCGGGGCTCCTGCGGGCGGGGCGGGGCTCGCAGCTCTCGGCCCCGCCCCTGCCATCTGCGCGTGCGCACAGCACCGCGGGCTGGGGAGGGACACGCCCCGCCCCTGACACCCTGGGAGTTTCAATCCAGTCCATCTGCAGGCGCTTTTCCAAATCAAGTTAAAATTGACTCCAGTCGTCCCCACGGACACCGGCGATGAGGACGTCCGTCTGAGGCCCGAGCGCTCCCAGCTCCGCTCTCCGATCCTCGCCGGTCACCACGCGGCTGTCCGAGCGGCAGGGCTCCTTCCAGGCCCTCCCGCCAAGCTCGACCCGGGCCCGGCCCCCACCGCGCAGCACAGCCGGGCCCCGTCGGGTTTCCCTCCGGGAGGAGCGAACGCCCCTCCAGCCTCGCTCTCGCTCCCTCGGGGCGGGCGGCTCTGGCCTGTCCCCTGTCGCGTCCCCCTCCACCCGTTTGCTCCTCCTCCCGAGGGTCCCTCACAGCCTCTCCTCAGAGGATCTGCAAACAGCACCGGCCTCCCCTCCCTGAAGACAGAAGTGGGCCTCAGACACGCTGCAGCCAGGCCTGTTTTCTCTGTTAACAAGACTTGTTCCAGGGTTCTGGGGGAGAACCTGAGGGGAAGGGTTGGAAACCGTCCGGAGAATCAGGGCATCTGGAGGAAACCTGAGTCACAGAAATGAGGGGGAGTCCTCCAGCTAGTTCACTGGACACTGACTGCTCTGCCACTGCGTGAGGGCTCAGTGATCCCGCGTGTACTAACACTCACCCAGGGAGGCAGACGGCGGAGCCCTGGGGGACCCTGAGCAGCAGGGGCAGCGTTAAGGAACTCACCCTCATAGCAGCAGTGCTCCTTCTCTTTGCCTTAAAAAACAAAAGGACAGAAACTATAATATCTGTGCAACTAAAAACTAATTTTTGGGGGGCTGGCCGAGTGGCTCAGTTGGTTAAGAGCATGAGCTCTGAGCAACAGGGTCACCGGTTTGATTCCCACATGGGCCAGTGAGCTGCGCCCCAGCTGAGCTGCCGCTGAGCTGACAACAGGTGGCAGGATGGCTCAGCTGGTGAGGGCACGTGCTCCTAACAACAAGGTTGTCTGTTCGACTCCTGCATGGGATGGTGGGCTATGCCCACTCACAACTAAGACTGAACACGGCACCTTGAGCTGAGCACCCGTCAGCTGCCAACGGGCGGCCAGATGGCGACTGGACTTGGAGCTGAGCTAGCTGCGCCCTCCACAACTAAGACTGAAGGACAACAACTTGGCTGTTGCCCTTCCCCAATTCCCCAATAATAAACAAACAAAGATATTTAGCTCCTCTAATTAAAAATATGAAAAAATAATTTAAAAACGAACTAAATAAATAAGAATAAACACTTGATTTATCACCATCATTAACACTTTTGTTTGGGATATTCAGATAAATTTCTAGCAAATGTCATTATAGAAATGGTGTGAGATGGCAAGCTTCTGTGGCAGCATTTATTCCTACTTCACAGATGAGTTTAGGGCTCAGTCTGAAATCACGGAGGCTCTCTGGGAGATGCTGGAAGTTCTCATCTAGACCTCACTGTGTGTGGGATATTCTGCATCATTTGAGATTTTGAGGCTTCAGAGGCCTGAAGAGAAATCCACTAAAAATAGCTACGTCTCATCACATTGTGGCTGCGCGTGCCAGGCACAGTAACAAGCACCTTCATACACTGTCTCATTGAATTCTCGCCACCACCTTTCCAGGTGAAGCATAACTGACCCCATTTTATGGAGGACGGAGTAGGGCCTTGGAAAGCACCTTCCTCAAAGTCATGCAGCTCATAAATCAAACTGAGATGCAAACCCAAATCTCAAAGCCTTTGCTCTTTCCTTTACAGGAAACTGTCCCCAAGAATACTGAAGTTTCTTGACCATAGAGCAAATGTATCTAAGCAGCATGAAAGGAAAAATAATTGGGAAAATAACCAGGAATACTGTCATCTAACATGTGGCTACACCACAACCAATGTGCTAAGTGTCGGCTTCTCTTCTTGGGTTTGTGCATAATGGCTTAAAAAGGCTGTGTGGGGGCCGGCCGAGTGGCGCGATGGTTAAGAATTCGCTTGGGATGCCAGAGGGCCCCGGCTCGGATCCCACATATGAGGGCCAGTGACACTGCCCTCCACAGCTAAGATGCTGAACAACAGCTCAACCTGGAGCTGGGCTGCCATGAGTCGCCGGCGACGGCGTGGGCTGCAGTCCCTGTGGCAGTGGATTGCCATGGGCTACCGTGTGTGGCCAGCAGCCAGCGTGAGCAGCCAGCGTGAGCGGCCAGCAGCCGCAGTGAGCGGCCGTCCAGAAGCCGGCGACTGATCTGCCTCGCCAGAGAAGAGCGTAATGATGGTGCCAACTTGGGCCAGTGAAGCAACATCCTCCACAACTAGATTAAAGAACAAAACGACAGCAACTTGTCTGTTCCCCTTCCCCCAATTTCCCAGCACTGTTTCCATCACCCCAATTCCCCAATAAAAATCTTTAAAAAAAAAAAAAAAAAAGGCTGTGTGGGTTATGTCTACAAATCTCCCATTACCTAGATAACTCAGGAGAGGAAGACACCAGATATTTCTTGGATAACCTAGATAAATGAAGGAGGAAATAACAGTGTGCATCCTCTAAGATTTTCAGGCTACAAAATTAAAAGGTGCCCACTGCTTCGGGCCTGAAAACCACCTGCCTTGTAATCAGTGTAAGTCCCATCATCCTTTCTCACTCTGGTTCAGGGAGATCATGTCTCGGTTTTCTTTTTCTTCTCGGATAATCAGGAAATGCTTCTTGTGGGTCTGTTCTATAAGTTGTGTGCCATTCAATCCAAGTTAACTTCACAGATGCTGATTATTTTCCATATGTTTTCCACACAAAGCCTGTATCCAGGTAGGAGGCTGAGATTTCTGGGGTAAGATTCATCTCTGAGGCATCAGCTACTGTGACACATCAGAAATTGGGGGACCTGTAGATGTGCTATTTGGGGACTCACAGCACATCCAAGTTAGCATCCAGGGACTCCTGAGAGCCCGGGGAGAGACACAGGTGGGAGCTACTGAGCCACTTCCTATCTAAGGGTCCTCTGCCTGATTCCAAGAACGTGGTGTTGGGTGGGTCAGCCCCTGGCTATAAATCTAAATCACAGCGGTCACTTTCCAGCTGCTTAAGGGATGTGGCGTCTTTCAGAGCATAGGGTCCCAGTGGACCAACACCGCCCCTCTCTTGGTCAACGGGCAGCGTCCCTCTTCTGGCCAGGCGAGGGTGGGCAGCCCGACCATCTCAGAGGCTGCCTCCCAGGATGCCAGCGCCAGAGAGGCCAGCCTCTTCAGAACTTGCTCCTTGGCTGTGGGGAAGAGGGTGCGGTCAGTGCTGCTGGCTCCCGAGAGGGGCCCCCTCTTGGCGAAGGATGCATCACTAACGCTCTCAGTGATCTCAGTGTTGGTGCTGGTGCCACGGGTCTCATCCTGATGCGCAGAGGCTGCCAGCACGGAGGGAGCAATCAGACCCCAGGGTTCAGAACGGCGCCTCTTCCGTTGGGACAAACAGGCTCTTCTGAGGTCTCCAACTTTCGTGGAGGGTGACCTCATTAAGAGCCATGGAGGGCCGGCCGAGTGGCGTGATGGTTAAGAACTGGCTTGGGACACCAGAGGGCCCCGGTTCGGATCCCATATATGAGGGCCAGTGACACTGCCCTCCACAGCTAAGATGCTGAACAACAGCTCAACCTGGAGCTGGGCTGCCGTGAGTCGCCGGCGACGGCGTGGGCTGCAGCCCCTGTGGCAGTGGGTTGCCATGGGCTACCGTGTGTAGCCAGCAGCCAGCGTGAGCGGCCAGCAGCCGCAGTGAGCAGCCGTCCAGAAGCCGGCGACTGATATGCCTCGCCAGAGAAGAGCCCAATGATGGTGCCAACTTGGGCCAGTGAAGCAACGTCCTCCACAGCTAGATTGAGGAACAAAACGACAGCAACTTGTCTGTTCCCCTTCCCCCAATTCCCCAGCACTATTCCTATCCCCCCAATTCCCCAAAAAAAAATCTTTAAAAAAAAAAAAAAAGAGCCATGGAGGTGCTGCCAACCACTTGGATGCCCTGTCTGGAGACCAAGGAAATCCTCTTCCTTCTCGCTGGGAGGAGAGCCCAGGCCTGGAGTCTTCAGTTCAATGTCCGACGGAGACGCGACAGCGGAGGTGATGGCCTGCCTTCCACGCTGGGGGGAGGAGGGACACCGAGGCACTGCTTGGTGGCTTTGGGGCCAGATGGTGATTTACCCTTCCTTTATTTGAACAGCTTTGCTGGCGTCTCTTCTCCTTCTGCTGTGTATCAAGTTTACGGAGAGGGAAGTTCTATGTTCCTCTCCTGTGTCAGTCCCTGCACCGAGTTCTTTTCACTACACATCTCACAGAGAGGTGTCAGGTTTCAGTAAAATGATAATTAAACCTATAGTCAACTCTTATCCGATGGCATTAAACAGAGGAACCTGGAACAAGGCACAATGTCTCTACGGGAGAAATATTTTTACACGAATATTTTGGTATTTGTTAACGAGCTAGAGCTAACAGAGAGATGTAGGAGGTGCTGAATAGAAATCCAATTTGTAGTGATTATTTCCAAATTAAGATCGGCACAGAAACTGTGTGGAGTGGGAGGCAAGGCTGCTGTTCCAGAGAAGAGGGTTTCAAGGTGTAGGTGGGAGAGAGAGAGAAACTGAACACCGGTGTTCCTCCGGCAGGGATGAGGAGGGGGCCTGCCAGTGTCCAGAGAGCCACAGGCACCCACCTGGAAGGCTCCACAGGCAGCCTGGGGATGACCGGCAGGGGCCATTCCCTGACCCTGACCCTGCCAATAGCCCTTAAATGCACCTGGGAGCTAGGGCTTGCAAAGAGCTTTTGTGTGTGCAGCATCTTAGGTAAATGGGTAAAGCATGTGAAAGCCTAACAGAAGGACTTATTCTGGGCTTCCTAGACAAACAGAGGGTTCTAATTACATGAGCTAGGTAAGTTGCAGCGAACGCCTACTTCACTCCACACACGTGTGAGCACCTCCTCGGTTTCATACAGCACCTACAGTGTGAAGATGGTCATTTCTCATTCTGTCCTTGAGACAGTCCCATCTACTGTGGACGACAGAAGCAAAGCACCAATTCACAGCGGTGTTACCAGCCCCACGATACAGACTTGATGGCTGTGCAGAGGAGCGGCACCTAACACTGTATGGGAGGCAGGGAGGAGAGAGAAGTCCAGGAAGGCTTCTTGGAGGAAGTAAAACAGAGCTGAGTACGAATGGAAGGTGGCACCGGCGCTGAGACATCCTGGTGGGCGTTGAGGAGGCATAAGCAGTTTGGTATTCAGGGAGCATCAAGTCCAGGGCAGGCAGTGGTCACGAAGGGCCTCGGTGCCCTCCTCCGAGCCTTGATAGTCCATCGAGTTAACGATGGGAACCCGCTGGCAAGAGCATCTTTGCTGAACCACTTTCCTCTCGGTTTCTGGCACTGCACCGTCTCTGGTTTTCCTCCTCAGCGGCAGCGCCGACAAGGTCTCCTTGTCCAGTTTCTTCTTCTCTTCGACCCTAAGTGTCAGCATGCCCCGGTTTCCATCTTCCACCTGTTGCTCTGCTCTGTCTGTGCACATCCTGTAGCTTTAAGGGCCACCTCTCAAATTTATATCGACAGCTTCAACCCCACCTCCAGATCAGATGCATATATTCAGTTGCCTACTCCCCATTCTCTATTTGGGTGTCTGTATGAGAATGAATGGAAGTGGGGGTCAATAGAACAAAGACCCACAGTAACAGTGACTTTAAAAGGACAGCTCAGATATGAGCCAGTGGGGGCTGTTGTGGTGACTCCACGGTCATCTAGGACCCAAGCACGGCTAGATTTCTATTCCAAAAAACTTACTGCTGCCCGATGGAGCTCCACCCATTATAACAAAGTCCCAGGCGGCATCATGAAGCAGCTGGGGCAGGTCAAGTTCCCCAGGAGGCGAACTTGGAGACAGGAATTTGCATACAGGATGTGTAAACGGGTTAGCTCCTGTGGGTGAGTGAAGGATGCAGGACCAGGAAGAAGGAAATGTAGGACTTTGATGTGTTACAACAAGACCTCAGCCATTCCTACAGGAAGCTCTACAGTTCAGATGGGCCTCAAGAGTGTCCCCAAGTTGGGGGAAGGGACCAGATCTTTTCATCCCCACTTCGCCCAGTTGCCAGGCGTAGGATGCACCAGGAAGGGGCCTGACTTTGAGTGAGGTGACTCTTTAGCCAAGGACAGTCACTGGGAAGAGGGACTGGGCTGAAAACTGTCACCACTGTCCATTCCCTGTAGCTGGAGGGTTCAGTGCTGCAATCCTGAAGGTGGGAGAAACCTGGGTGGCAAGTGCAGAGTCCAGTGCAGACCACCCCTTGTACCACTCAGATCCACCTGCTTTGCAGACGTTCTGAGAACAGCTCCTTTGGGATTCTGGGGGGCCTCTTTTCTTGGGGGAAACTTACAAAAAGAAGACCTAGGGCTTTGTCCTCACAGCCTGACTCAAGGTCACATGTGGTCCTCATCATCGCCTTCCTCTGATCATTTTGAGATTGCCCTCCCCTTGGTGAGCTAGATGCTTTCTTTTTGGGGGTTACCTTGTAGGCTGAGCCACTGGTCATCAGGCCCTTCTCAGGCTATGGCTGCAACACTGGACCATTTACCAAGAGACGTCCTGTCACCTTGCAACTGCCTACTCGAATGCTCCTGGCGCACTGAACCTTTGAAGTCTTATGGGAGTGTCTCAGAATGCTGAGACCCGAGGCAATAATCTCAGCAAAGCTTCCTTATCTGATGGTCTGGAAATGCTGACTCCATCCATAGGGATCGTATGTATGTGTGAAAGCACAACCTGTGTTTGAACACAATGAGTTTCGATGAAGCAGTGGCCAGACACATCGAATCAACAAACTGGGATGGGATATCCAAATTTACTTCTTTGTGGCAGCGGAGAATAAAAGCTTTGCACCAGCCAGATTCCCAGATTCGGGGCTCAGTCCACAGAGGCTTGAGACCCCTGGCCCGCATAAACTCAATACTTGGCTCTTATATTTCTTCACCCTTCGCCACCCCTCCTCGCGCTCCCCAGTCCCTGTTGCACAGGAACACAACAGCGTCCCAGGGCATCACTTTGGCGCCAAACATGCTCTTCTGTGCCCCCCTGTAGATGACAGCAGCCTTAAGTTCACCTGATGATCAGTCAATCGCCAGTGCCACAACGGCGACTCGTTTCTTTCCCTGTTAGCACAAGGAGCCCAAAGGGACCAGGCAGCAGCCACAATTTTAAATTTAATGGAACTCTGTCACAGCCCTTGGTGGAATCATGCCTTCCACCCAAAGCTCAAGAACTCTAAATCCACACCTTCCCCAAGTGGGTCACAGAGTAATGTTGGCAGGGCCAAACCTTCCTCCATCCCTCAGTTCCTAGACCACCATATAACAGAGAACCATCAAAGTCTTTTGAGTAGAGAAGTGGCAACTCCGAAGTAGCAATGTTGAGGATGGCCATAAAGAAAAGCCTTTGAAGCAGGAAGACCAGTGACGAGGCTGTTCGGCTTGTCCAGGCAGGAAATGATGTGAGCCTAACAATGGAACATTATTAGAACCTGACATTTCTTTCAGCAGGAAAGCGAGCACTTGGCATCCAATTAGTGTCTCTGGTACATGAGGACGCATACTGTAAGTCAGGAGGGACGTTTGTTAAGCTTTCCTTGCACTCATAGAGGCGAAATGATTATAGAACCAGTCCAAAAATAGCCCAGCCAAGCTGGTGAGCTGTAGCTTAGCCGGTACATCGGCGAGATCAGCAGACACACAGAAATATGGCCACTCCAGGAAGACAGCCAGGCAGGTAGGTTTTCTGTATCAGCCCCTCCCAGAGTGGGGCCAACGATCCTTCCCCTAGTCCTTGAGCTCGGTTTATTCCTCTCTCCTGGAACATTCACCACCGTATGCCTGGAGTTCAGGATATTTCCACGTGTGGTCACCCCTGCTCTAGACAGCAACCCCATAGGACAGGGTTACACTCTTTTGTACTCCTGATCATCAAAACCCATCACTCAGACAATAAGCTCAGTAACTGGAATAGAAAAACTTTGCAAGTGAGATCAGCAAGCTATATACTATCAACGATCAATGATAGTGATAATGATGTTGATAGGTAACATTTACTGAGCCCCTCCTGGGGGCCAGGATACTTCCGAGGGACTTATATGCATCATCTTATTTAATCCTTCTAGGAACACTGTAATGTAGGTATTATTGTCATCCCCATTTTACACAGAAAATTTGGCACAGAGAGCTAAGTAGCTTGCCCAAAGCCACCCTGCTGGTAAGTGGCGGGCCCATCTCCCAAAAGAGACCCACGTGGATGCCACACACTACAGCCAGCAAATGTGACACTAATCTTAGGCAAGATTCCAGAGCAATCTGTGAGGTCAACAGCTCCTAGGTACTTCCGGTGAGTACGAGGAACCAGCAAGTGTTCATCAAGGATGAGCCATGTTAGCTTAACCTCAGTTCTCTCCCAGTTATACATTCCACAGTACATGTTAAGTCCTTTCTGTGGGCCAGACACTGTGCTGGGCACAACTTCCTACCCTGAATTCATCCAGTACAAACCAGGTTACGCTGTGGTAACAAACAACCCCAACAGCCTCAGGGTTCTGAGAACACCACAATTACTAACTTTTGTTCATGTTGCATGTCTACCCCAAGCCAGCAGGAGGACCTGCTCCTCACAGACCAGGTTCCAGGTAACAGAGGAGCCGCCACGTTGGACAACGCCTGTCATCCTTACAGAGAGAAAAATAAAACTCCACAGGGTCTTGCGACAGCAATTCAGAGCCCCAGCCCGGAAATGGCACATGTCGTTTCCATCCTCAACTCGCTGGCCAGAACCAATCACATGGTCCCACGTAATTGCAAGGGAGCCAAGAAGTGCAGTCTCGCAAACAGCGGTCCCAGAAGCATCTGGAGACCAGCGCTAATGACAACTACATGATGGCAATGGGGTTCCAAGAGCCCCAGGGGGAAGTTATGGGAGGAAGGCGGGCAGGGGTTACCGGAGCTGGAAACTTATCCGGCTCCGGGGGCCACGCTCTTACCCAAAATCTAGAAAGATACACACCAAAATGTCCACTACAATTATCCCTCGGATGTAATGTACAGGATGTTTTTCTTTTCTTCTTTATTCTTATTCTGTCTTTTCTAATATTTCCACAATGAATCTGCTTCTACTTTTATAACCAGGAAAGCTAAGTGTTAATGGGAAGATAATATCTGCATAATAATGATCTTCCGTTGACAAGGTCTTCATCTCCCCACCAGCCCTCTTCAGGTGTTAGTTCTTCCTTGCTCCCTTTCCCAAAATCTATCCTCAGAGAAGGTTCTGATCAAGTCCTTACTGGTACTTAGGTCTGACCCATTCTGAGATGTTAGCCTTGTGCCAGAAGGCTTACTTGATGGTAGCGTTTCAAGTGCAAGACCCACTAGGCTGGATGGACAGCTACCTTTCCCAACATGGAGAAGGGAACTCCCCTGGCACCTGAAAACACGCTGCATCAACAGCTGTGGGTTCCACTTCCAGCCCCGTGCCCCCAACCCGCGGCCCAACCTCCAGCCATATGCTCCTCCGAGAATCACACATCCCTCTTACGTAGGCATTTATTTTCAAGGAATCGAAGGTGTCATCACAGTTTCTCTGTCATCCTCCTCGACACCTGCTGCCCTCCTGCAAAGCTCCCAGCACGCTGGCACCAGGTGGGACACACCTGCCCCTCCACCTCTGCTCACAGGCACAGCAACATCACTGGAGCCCAGGCCCAGGAGCCCCACCTGCCGGCCTCGCCCTGGGACAGCTCCCCGGGCTCTCCACATGCCCCCAGAAGGATGGGTCTGCTCACACTGCCCTGGACTCCATCAGGGAGCCTGAGTCCCTCACCTTGCTGCTGGCCATGCGACCTCACCATCATCTCTGCTCCTCAGGGGCAGAAAGGGTACTTCAAGAAGACAGCAGTCAAGTACAAAAATGAATATACGGAACTCCCACAACTCATTCGCAAAAACAACAGGTAACCTGAACAGACATCTCTCCAAAGAAGACATACAAATGGGCAACACGTCTATGAAAAGAAGCTCAACATCGCCAATTATGAGGGAAATGCAAATCAAAACCACAATGAGAGAATGCCTCACACGTTAGAATGGCCATTATAAAAAAAATAATAAAAGCAGAAAACAAGTGTTGGCAAGGATGTGGAGAAACTGGAACCCTTGTGCAGTTTGGTGGAAATGTAAAAAGGTTTGCAGCTGTTCCGGTCGAGTTCAGAGGTTCCTCAAAAACTTAAACATAGAACTACTATATGACTCAGTAATCCCATTCCTGGGTTATTTATCCAATATAATTAAAAGCAGGGTCCCAAAGACACTTGCACACCCGCGTTCACAGTAGCACTATTCACAGCAGCTAAAATGTGGAAGCAGCCCACCCAAGTGTCCATCTATGGATGGACGGATAACAAGATGTGGTCGACACGGACAATGGGATACTCTTCAGCTTTTAAAAAGGACATCCTGCCACATAACACAAGATGGAAGAACCTTGAGGACATTATGCTGAGCAAAATAAGGGGATTTAACAGACGGACAAACCCGGCACTCACACAAGGAATCTACAGCAGCCAAGCTCATGGAAGCAGAGAGCAGAGCAGGGGCGCCTGGGCTGGGGTGGGGGGCAGCAGCTGCTCAACAGATGTTGTTTCAGCCACGCACAATGAAATAGTTGTAGAGATCTTCTGTACAAGTGCATACCGGTAACACACTGTAGTGTGCACTGAAAAATTGGCGGAGTATAGATCCCATGTTTTTCCCCCAAATTGAAAAAATAGTCAAACTATAGATCTGACATGAATCCAGAATCGGCTGTGAGCATCGCTTGTTCTTAACCACGTCACTTCTGGACCTGACAGAAAAGCAATGGAGCGGGGACGGGGGATTGCAGGGAGGGGAAGTGTGTGACCCAGTCGGCTCCACCCTGCTCCTCAAACGTCACCTTGACCTGGGTGGCAGCTATGTGGGCACACACGTGTGAAGAGGTGAGCTTCCCTGAGCTGCATACGTAAGGTCAGTGCACTTTAATACTTTAACGTATGCATGAACGTGGTGCTTCAATAAAAATATAAAGGGAAAAAGCAGCCCAATGCTTGAAGAGAGAGCCTTGACGACAAGCTAAGGTGTTTGGACTGTCTCCTGTGACCAGAGGAGGAAGATGGACTAGTGGGAGCAGGGGAGGGTCCCGGGGGAAGCTGTGCTATGCCTGGAACCTTCTTGAAATATTTGGCCATATGTCCAGGCCATGCTCCCCCACCACCCAGAACTCCTTGAGGGGGACTCCTGCCACTTCGTCACTGTCCCTGCTTCAGCGCTGGTGTAGCTGCTGGCACCTCACTGGTGACTAACAAGGGGCGGGCCGCGCCAGTGAGGGAAAGGCACCCCAATCCCTTATGGGAGGCCAGGAGGCAGGCTGCGTTCCCCGCCAGCCTGCTCAGCATCAGGAGGGCACCTGCTGTCTGCGGTCATGCAACAGAGCCTAGAGCAGCTGCTGGGAGAACAGCAGTGCGCCTTCCCAGACCTCGCCGCCCCCACCCCACCCAGCCCCCAGCCTGCTCTCTAAGCCCTCAGCACCCTAGGTCTCACCTGCTCTCAGGGCAAAGGGGAGAAGAGCTATACACAGGTGTGAGACCAACATTATAAAATAAACAAGGCTGAGTCATTCGTCATTGCAAGGAACTTAACTTTCTGGAAGTAGGCTCCCCAGAGGGAGAGGCCTCCCCAAAACAGTTGGCCAGTTACCGGGAACGCAGAGCGACTGGGTGCATGTTGATACCTGATGAGTTTGACTGCTTTATAAAGCAGTTATGCTAATAAACCCAACTGGCTCGGGAGCTGGCTCACAACTGGAGGCAGGAGAGTGAGGTGCACACGGAGGAGGCACCGATGTGACCAGAGACAGAGCCAGCAGGCCCCTGCTGAGGCCAGCTGGGGCGCCACTGGGTGGGCAGAAGCCAGGCTGGGCCTGGATGTGAGCGGCTGGCAGTGGCAGGGAGGCCGGCTGGGGCCCCACTGGGTGGGACCTGGGGTCATCACACCTCGGGCACCTTGGGTCCAGCCTGTGCCCTTCTCTGAGCTCACGGTCCCAGGGCTTCCCTCTGCCACAGCAGTGGTCACTGTCTGCTCCTGACACCGTCTCTCCTCAGTCTCAATGGCAGGGACTCCTATGCATTTGTCCCCCCAGTACCCAGCGAGGACCCGCTCACAGAAGGTGCTCAGTGAGTGTTTCCTGAACCAATGGCTGCACGAGCGATGAAACGGCTGAATGGGTGGACGGATGACCGCATGAAGGAATCCACTAGAAATCAGCACCATTTTCCGTCTCGTGTTTCCACTGCACAAAGGCGTGCCGGCTCCAGACTGATGCCTCAGAGCAGAGATGTCTCCGCTACGAAAAGTCTGTGAACCTCGGGGTGCAAACCTCATGACAGGCCTGGCTGAAGCCGACTGTGCTTTCCCAGAACCATGACAGAAACAAGGCTTCAAATGTCCCCCGTCGACTGTCCGACTGGTACACTGCACTGCGGGCTGGTTTCGGGTTTTTCTTTTGCAGCCTCGGCTGTTTTCTAGAACAGACTGGGCAGGGCATCTGAGCTAGGGACACGGGGGGTTCGATTTGGGGCTAATTCCATTCTCCTGGCCCTGAAGGGAAAGACCTCGACTTTGCACATCCTTGTCCCCAGCGGGGGCTTCTTGCCAGAGCCCAAGGGGGTTCCTGCAAATGTTTGCTGAGTGCGCACAGTGGGGGAACGTGCTCCCGGCACAGGGCAGCACTTCCCACTGGGTGCTGTGCTGGGACCTTGGCAGGGTGGGCAGGGAGCCTGAGGAAGCTGCTGGTTCATCTTGAGCTGCCGTTTTCTGACCCACTTCAAGGAGGTCACGGCGGGCTGTCCCAAGACTCAGGTGCCCAAGTGCTGACAGGTAAGTTGCCGGGGGTGGGTGGCCCTTGTCACTATGATTCTCTTTCTGGTCATCAGACTCCCTGGCCTTGTTGGGCCCTGGAAAGAGCGCAGGGTCCATTCAGTGACACGAACCGTCAACCTGCCCTGTGGCTGCAGGTGCTGTGCTGAATGCTAAGCATTTGGAGGTAAGTTGGAGCCCTGCCTCCCTGAAGCTCACTTCCTTCTATTGCGGCGGACAGATAAACCCGACTTACCCTGGAGGGAGGTCAGTGTTGCAGCAGATGTAGTGCTGCTCAGAGGTGGCACGGTCACGGCAGGAAAGGCTTCCCAGCACCGTCATACTGGACTAGAGGCTGGTGTGTGATCTGGGCAGGGACAGAGACCTGTGGGCTTTGGTTTCCTCATCAGTAAAGGCTGAATACAGCAAACTCCGTGCAAGCAGCCTGAAACGGTACAGTAACAGGTGTTACTGCCTACTGTTCACTCCTAGCCTCGGATGAGTATCAGTGACTGCGGAAACGGGAGGGCCCTTCACCCAAATGCCAATCAAGCCAGTTCACCGAGATGGGATGAGGGGTGGGAGGCAAGAGGGGTCTCAGCTCTGAGCTGCTTAGATCTCCCTCCAGGACGAAGGGAATTTCCTGCAGCTGCCTTTGCCGTCCCTGGCTCCCTTTATGAAACGCTGGCCTCTTCCTGCATCCATAAAGATGAAGACATTCCTCCCCAGGGGGTTAATATCAGGGCTGCATGCCTGGCTCCCGAAAAAGCCCAGGCTTCCTCCTCCTTGGACTCCAACCCCGGCAGCTCCGTGCGCTCCAGACGAGCCTGCATTCCCCTTAATGCCCTGGGATCGCTAACTCACTGTGAAATCCGCTGCCTCAGGGGTTTCCTGCCAGAAGTAAGCCTTCTTTTCATGGGCAGTCAGGCAGGATAGCCAGGGGTAGAAAAGAGGGGGGGCGCCTGCATGCCCTGCTGGGTCTCTGCGAACAGTGCCCCTCTGACCTCCCCTGTCCCTGACCCCAGGCCAGGGGAGGAGCTGTGGACAGGAAGGGCGGATCTACTCCAATGGGGAAACGGAGTCTGAGCACGGCACTGATCTGCTGGGTCCACACGTGGGTTTGAACGAGACCTGCCGAATCATGACCAGGGCAGAGCCCTCACTACCTGTGGCTGAGGAGGCCTCTGACACATGCCGGGAGGTCCATCAGTGCCACCCCTGATGGGTGCACATGGTGAGTGTGTCCCAAGGAGCGGGGCACACCCACCAAGGCGCTCTGCTCCTCTTGGGGATGAAATTCACAAGCCTGGCTCTTATAGGCTGCGTTTCATGGAGCGTGGGGCTTTTATTCAGCAAACATGTCTTGTGAGCCCCCCTGCAGGCCGCCACCCCCCACCCTCACGTGTCCTGCCAGTCGTGCAGGGTGAGCGGCAGACAGAGCGTGGGCCCTGGACCTGGAAGAGGTGGACCTGGTCTTTCCATCTCTAAGCTGCGTGTCCTGGGGCATGTGACACTGGATTGCAGTAACTTCATCTGCAAAATGCTTGTGGCCCTGAAACCTGCCTCTCAGGACTGTCTGCGGTTAGGTGGTGTTTTGTAGGTCTGTTCCCCCTCTGAGCCTGTCACTGCATCTGTAAATTGGGATCTGACTCTGCCATGTACCCCAGGTCTGCTCAGATAGCACAGTGCAGTGGGGAGGCATGTCACTGCCAGGCTCTGATGGTCCTGGGTTCAAGCTCTGACTGTGCCACACTGTGTGACCCCAGCGTTCCCAACTATAAACTGGAGATAATGACAGTGACACTTAGCTCAGGCGGTGAGTGTGATCATTAAATGACATAATTCAAAAGGAAATTAAAAAGTTATTAATGTTGGGTTGTCAGAAAAGTCATGATGCATTTTTGCAACGAAAACCAGAAAAATACATCATGACTTTTCCGACAACCCAATATTTTAAAAGTAAAGGGCTTTGCACAGAGATGCTCCCAGGAAGCCCTAAATAAACATGAGCTATACTCTTAATCGTTAATATTCTTATAATCCAAAGGGTAATAGAGGATTTTCTTCTATCTTTCCACATGTACGGCTTTGGGCCAATCAAAACAACAAGACCTAGAAAAGCTCTTGTACTGCACAAAGACAGTTAGGGGCAACTGTGAAAACAAACTGCAACCTTTGCAGACTTGACTGCAAACATATGCTCTGTTTTTGTTGTTGTAAGCCCAACAGGGTCTTGCCAGGTGACCATATGCCACACGGAAGGATGGGAGCTCTCCGCCCGTGTTACCCAGTCCCTCCACTGTGCACCCAGCCCCCCACACCACCCCCAGCCTCTGTCCCAAGCAGGCAGCTGAGTGTCCGCCCCCTGCCTGCCCATCCCGGAGCCTCCTGAGCTGTTTTCTGCACTCTTGGACCCAGAGCGGAGACCTCCAGGGATGAGTCACCTTCAGTGACTGCAACCTCATGAAAGAACCAGGGAACTCAGCCCCCTCTTAGAGCAGGAAGGGCTCTGAGGGGACATCACTCACCCACCGTCCCCAGGTTCCTTTTAACATAAAAGTAAAATGAGACATAATAAAGGCTAGGCTTCTCTACAGTCCTAACAGGACCAAGGACCCAGGGCAAGGAAACAGGCACGCAGACTCGCACTCGTCAGCGGTCACCTGGGCACAGTGACAGTGCCGTCCCCAGACCGGTGAAGTCAGGATCTCTGGGGGCGGGACCCAGGCGTCCAGGCCAGGTTGCCAAGGCTGCACACGACTGCATTAGAGCAGAGGTCCCCCGACGTCAACACTGCAGGCCACAGCTCATACGCTTTTTGCACTGGTCCCAAGCTACTCTTTCCGGAGACTCTGATGGCATCATTCAAAACTCCCAGATCGTTCCAACGTGCAGCTAAGGTGGAGAGCCACTGTTTGAATGCAGTATTTTAATTTACCTTTAAAACTCTATTTGCTCTTTAAAGGAAATCAGTATACTTAACTACAGCAAAAAAAAAAAAAGTACCTATTTGGTTGAGAAGCAGCCCATTGCATGTTAATCCGTGTTCATATTGCAGGACAAACAAGGATTTGTAGTTACCGGGAGATTAACCTGTGAATCTGTCCTTATGCACAGGTGTAGTCACACCCACTGATGTGTCTCAATTCCTGTCATTTGCCAATTCAACAGGAATGTATTGAGTTTGCTTCCGTCACTTATGAGCGTATAGGATCATTCTGAATCAAGAGCAGAGTGAATAAGCATCTTTAATAAACAGAAAGAACATAAGCCCAGTTAGTGCCACAGAGCGTTCTGCCTTCACACATGGTCCCTATAAACTGAGCTAGTGAGTACCTGCCGTTTGCTGAGGAAAACGTCTGGGTGGGACTTTCACTTGAATCAGATGGAAATTCCTGCTCTCGCTTTTTTAAAAAAGTAAGGCTGCCTAAAATTCCAAAGCCCTTTAGCCTCTTTTTTCACCTCCCAAATATTATGAGGAAGACTCAGGAATAAGCGCCCCTAGCCACCCAACCACCATCCTCCTGGGGGAGACCCCAAACCCAGTCACAGAGAGAACTGTAAGTAAAGTGAAAAGACCTCACTGAGCACAACACCCAAGGCGGCCCAGCACCTCTGGCAGGGAGCACAACGCAGGGTCCCCGATGCCTCAGGGTCCTTCTCCTGCAGGCCCCTGCGGTCCTTGGGCATCCAGACTAGGGGCGCCAGGTGTCCCCAACACGCAGGTGGCCCTCGGAGTTTCCAGAGGCTGTGAGTGTCAACCACCTACCCTTATCAGTTCTCCGTCCAACACTTACAGTCACAAAGCTGGCTGGAAAAGTGATAAGGGCATGTGACTGGCTGGTGAAGGCGTTTTGACGAACCTTTGCAGGACAAGATGAAAACTGACATTTGATTTCCTGGCATAAACGTCCACTTGCCCTTCTCTGCAACCCTTCCCGTCACCCCAAAGCCTCTCTGTGCCCTTACGCTTTGCTCTGGCCTCTCCTTTTGACATCTGTCTCTGCATGCGGAAACTGAGACATGCAGCACTGGATAGCTATGGAAAGTAGTGGATTCTTCGCATTTTTAAAAATAAAAATCAATTAAAATTTCAAATTAATTTGAACTCCAAAATCCATAAATAAACCAAAGTTAGCAAAGCCTTTACCATCAGCTCCCGCAGGTCTGCTCCTCCTGGCTCTGCTTCTGAGCCCACACCCACATGCCATTCATAAAGTCCCCACTGCGAGTCTCCTCCCCCAGCTGGGATTGGTCCCCGGGGATGCGGGCCCCAGGCCGGGACCCATCAGCTGTGACTGTACTGGAGCGGGAGGTGTCCACTGTGCTGTGTGGCCTTGATGGGATCAGGCCGGGGTGGAGCTGGGGCCTTCAGTAAGTGACCTCTTGTGCACCCCAGCCCACTGCCCCATCACGTGGGAGTCTCCCCTCTGAATGACCTTCCACACTGATCTACACAGAGTCACTGGAAACCAAAATCTGTTGACGTGGCTTCCACTAGGGAGGCCGGAACATGATTCTCTACATCAGGACGAAACCAAAGAGAAATCTCCCAGATTTCAGAAATGGGTTTCCCTAAAGTAGTGCATCCACTTGGGGTCCCCTCCGCCTGCCACGCGTTTCCTGGTGTGGCCCAGAGGAATTACGGAATCTCTCTGAGCCTCGGACCCTGATCTATAAACAGAGATCATAACACTTTGCTCCCAGGATTGCTGTGAGAATTAAACGAGAAAAGGGATGGAAAGTGCTCATGCTGAGACCGGGGTTCAAATCCCACTTCAGCTACTTTCTAGTTCTCTTAAACTCTCTAAATCTTAGCTCTTTTTCTGCATGGGGATTATATATAGCTCCTCAAAGAGTTGTTCTGAGGATGAAAACAGATCTCCTGTGTACAGTTAAGAGAATAGCCTGTGTAGTTAATTGGCCCGGATTTAAATCCCGACTTTGTCATTTACTGGCTCTAAGTCACTCAGCCTCTCAGGGCCTCACTGTCCACATCTGCAGAGTGGCTGTGACCGTGCTGACAATGCTACGTCACAGGGTCGTGGCAAAGTTTAAGCGAGGCGAGCTGTAAAAAGCTATAAGCACGGAGAATTCAACAGATGTGGCAGTGGCATCGTTAACAGATAATACAATCGTGACAGTGACCCAGGCGATGCCCAGCAGGCGGCAGCTTCAGCTCATGCTCCGAAAGGCACCTGCTTGGGCCACCTGGAGAGGCTTCTACCCCACTTGTATCCTGTCAGGAAAGCACCGATGAGACACAGGCTCTGGAAGCCAGCCCTGCATCCAGGACCAAGAGAGTGTCCGGCCCTGGCCCTCCAACCCTTCAGGCAGAGGATCAAGGGCTCCGAAAAGCAATGGAGGCCAGGACTGTGGCCAAGGGGACAATCGAGGAGGTCTCAGAACTGCAAGAGGTGACATTCAGGATTCCAGGCGCGTGGGAGGAAGGGTGGCCCTGCCTGAGTGGCCTGGGCTCATGCCACGCCTTTACGCTCAGCCTCTCCCAGAAGCTGAGATTGTGTGGGGACAATCCACTTGTTCCTGTTTGGTCCATTTGACACATGGGGGACACATTTGACACATGGGGGACACATTTGACACATGGGGGACCAGAGCCCAGGCTGGGGCCCCCGCCCAAACCCCAAGGATGCGCTCGCTTGTCTCTGACCTTAGATCAGAGCATGTTTACAATGCAGATCAGGAAGCAGGCGTTTTCAGAGGAGACAGGAAGCCTGAGGAGAGGGAGGCTGGTACCCACCCGCCGCGGGACCGCAGAGCCCAGGCAGCGCCACCCCCCGGTTCCACATCGTGACAGAAGAGAAAATGCAGTGGTGCCTTTCTTTTTCACGCTCCCCACAGCCTGTCTTCTCACAGGGACCTCGGGCTCTGTACACACTGGCTCTGGAGCACTCAAACCCGGAGAGTCTACACCTTCCATCTCCTCCACACCCAACGTGAAGGCGAGCGCTCCGGCAGTCAGAAAGAGCAAGGGTTCTGACCCTCCCCTCTCATCTTGCTGCCCTGGTCTAAATGGTGGCCACATTTGGGTGTTTATTTATTTATTTATTTATTATTTTATTTATTTTTTTAAGCTGAGCCATCCTGCTACCTGTTGGCAGCTCAGCGGTTGCTCAGCTCGGGCTGGACTCGAACCGCTGTTGCTCAGAGCTCAAACTCTTGAGCGAGCTCTAAACCAACTGAGCCACTCGGCCGGCCCCACATTTGGGTGTTTAGATTAGATTGCTTAAAATGTGTATTTCTTACAACCTTCCCACTGAATTCATCCGCATGGGGTTTTTTCATTACGATTCAATTCATCCAACAGTCACTGAAGAGACCATTTATTGCCAGGGACTACTCTGGATTTGGGGATCAAGGAATGAATTCAGTCTCTGGACTCAAGGAAGTGAGAAGTCATGGCTGATACTGAACTGCGTGCTGAAGGGGGAGGGGGACTGAGGCAAGGTGACATGTGACCTCTTCCCAGGAGCAGAGAGGAGGGAAGGGACCGAAAGGTGAGGGAGCAGCTAATGCCCAGACATGAAGCTGTGACGCAGGGGCCTGGTGTGAGGTGACGGTGAAATGAGGCTGGAGGTATAAGGGTCAGGGCCCATCACAGCACCCTGGACATCAGGTTCATTAATTTAACAGGAAGCCCTGGGGTCCTGAGGAAAGTCACGTCTGATTGGAGCGAAAAGGGGCAAAAGGTTTGCAGAGAAGGCAGCAGAGCAACCAGCTGAGTGGCTGCTCTCGGTGCAGGCGAGAGGCGCTAAGAGGGAATTAATGCAGTGGCAGTGGTGACGGAGCCCTTTGCTTTAACGAAAAACTGAGCACATTCTGTAAATAACTAAAAACGCAAGCCATGATACGTATATCTGGTTAGAGGCTGGACTCAGCTCATCTTTACACGTTGTATTATTTTATTTAATCCTCTCTCTCAACAGCCCTGAGCAGTATGTTATGTGGGGTGGGCTCCACCCTTCCTGGGGGCAGTAAGAGTCATGGAAAGCACCCCAGGCAACAGAATGTCAACTCATAAAACTGTCCCAGGAGAATGAACTCCCCCATTCTCCATTCCAAGGTCCTTTCCAGATAACAAGGCCGCCAAGTAGATAACGGGAGACAATCGCACGGCAACCCCTGGTTTACTGACACTGTTCACAGCTATGCAGAAGGAGGGAGAGCAGACGCAGGCCATGGTCAGGACACCATGGGCCCTTTGATTCCTGCACGGTCTTGTCCCCACACACCAAAACTCTCGCGACTCCGTCTTCCCCGGCTAAATCATAATACAACGTACTGCTCTGACCCAATTCAAACTCACTTCGTCAGCACATGGCTTTTGTTATTAAACTCTCATCAACATCAGGGGTCTGGAGGGGCCACCTGCACAATTTCATCTTAGCTGGACCCTCTGCTCCGCGAGGTTAAACACAGGTTGCCCCCTTGGCCTGCTAACTCTGAAACACTCTCCAGCCTCCCTCTCTTCTTTTTGTTGTGCTTTCATAACTTTTTATCAAAACATGTTAAAAAACCACTACCGTACATATCAGTGAAGCTCTAAATATAAACCACCTAAAATTAATTTTTATATGTGTATTATTTGACTCAAGTCTCCCCACTTCCAATAGAATACATTTTCTTAGGGACCAGTTCTACTCAAAGTATCACCATCCTCATTTTTTGGAATAAAAAAAGATTCAGAGAGGTTAAGAAACTTGTCCAAGGCCCCACAGCTCAGGTATTAGATCCTAGATATTTCTGTTGCCATCCGATTTCCCCTCCCTCGCCCTCCTTTTCTAAGGGCATGAACGAAGGGAGTGGGCATGGCCTTCAACACCTCTCACACAGATTCCAAGTCACACAGAGCCCTTAAAACAATGGACTGCTCCTTAGCCCAGAAACCACAGGTCCGTCATGGCCAGGAGGCAGCCTTGAGGGTGAAACAGAGCAATTGCTGAGATGCTGAACCACACCTGCCCATCTTTCATGGGCATCCCACCCCGAAAGTCCCCGAGGTTCCCACCCGGGTCTTTCCAGGGCTCCCCTGGCTGTGGGTGACTCCCATGGTTACGAAACCCTCACCCTTCCAGTTCTCTGTCACATCCACTTTGCATCCCACATCATCCTCTCCTGCCAACTGGCTGGTTCCACCACAGCCTGTCTGCCGGCCGTTTACTGAGCAGCGCCGACGGCCGCCCTCAACCAGCCAACCCCCACCTCCACAGCTGGCACAGATGACTTGCCCCATGGTTGAGGGTGAAACAGGCTGCAGAAGGGACTGAACCAGGCAGGACAGGCGGAGGGAAAGAAAGTGGCTGAGTGTACAGCCCCTTTCACAGCCCAGGCCGGCTGTGCTCTGGCCATGACCTCTGTTCCCTCCCTGTCTCTATCCGGTTGGGCTCACTGCACCCAGCTTAACGGTTGGGCTCACTGCACCCAGCTTAATCAGCTCAGGAATGGAATGCACTCGGTTGAGACGCCCAGTGTTTGCTTTGGCCCCTGAGCTGCAGTGTGCCCTGGGCTCTTCTCATCAGCATGCAGGATTGCTCAGACATCTGTCCGGTGACAGCAGGCAAGCTATGCCCAGCAGGACGCAGCGTCTGCATTTAAATATTCTGCAGCATAATAAACATGTACAGGCGTGCCCTGCAGAGATGTCACAGACCCCACACTTCTTCAAGCTGGTTCCAGCTGGGCTATGAGCCTGCCTCTGAATACGGCTCCATTCTGAGGGCCACAAACAGC